CTTCCTTCCTTCCTTCCTTCCTTCCTTCCTTCCTTCCTTCCTTCCTTCCTTCCTCTCCCTTTTTTGTTCTTGTTCCTTCCTCTCCTTTTGCCTTTTCCTTCTTCCTTCCTCCCTTTGTCCTTCATGCCCCCAGCACTGAGCTGCAGACAGAGACCAGGGTGGAAAAATCTCCACAGCAGAACCTTGTGGAAGAAGCCATTTTGAGCAGCTCCAAGGGGCAGGAATCCAACAGGGAGGAAATGCCAAAGGGATGCCCCACAAGGAGGGGCTCCAAAACCAGCCCAGGGTGCTCTAAGTAGCAAAGATCTCCCCACTGCTTCATCCAGAAATCCACTCTGGTGGTCCATGAGCAGCTTCACACCAGGGAGAAACCCTACATGTACTTGGAATGTGGGAAGAGCTTCAGCCACACCTCCCACCTCTTCATCCACCACCAAGTACACATGGGGGAATGGCCCTGCAAGTGCTTGGAATGTGGGAAGAGCTTCAACTGCAGCTCCTAGCTCATCCCCCACATGTGCCAGCACACAGGGGAATGGCCCTAGAGTCTGGGGAATGTGGGAAGAGCTTCAGCCTGAGCTCAGTCCTAGTCCAGCACCAGAAGATACACTCAGGGGAACAGCCTTACAAGTGCTTCAAGGGTGGGAAGAGCTTCTGCCACAGATCCAGCCTGATCGACCACTAGAAGACCCACAGTGAGGAATGGCCCTACAAGTGTCCCAGATGTGGGAAGGGGTTTAAGAACAGGTAAAATCTCCTCATGCATCAGCAAACGCACATGGAGTAGAGGCCCTTCCACTGCCCTGACTGCAGGAATGGCTTCAACCACAACTCCACCCTCACCATCCACTGGCACATCCACACCGGAGAGAGGCCCTATGAGCATCCTGAATGTGGGAATGGCTTCTATCAGAGCTCTGCCTTGGCTTCACACAAATGGACCCACCTGTAAGGGAAACCCTGCAAGTGCTGCAAGTGAAGGAAGAGCTTCATGCGCTCCTCCAACTCCATTCCCCATGGGAGGATTTGCGTTGGCTGATCCCCAGTGATCCCTGTTGTGCAGAGCCCTGATTACCCCTATTTTAGGTGAACTCTTTTGAGAAGACACATGTCTGGTGGTCTCCACATCCTCCTGATTCCCTCTGGGCATCTGGGTGAAGGAAGGGAGGGACAGGGACATCCATCAGGGCTCAGAACGATATCAGGAATTCATCAGGAAGAGTGGATTTGTTGACTTTCAACCCTAAAAGTCTCAGCTCTTCCATCCAATCCTTTTTTCCTGTGGCATCAAGCAACATTGGATGGTCTTGGAGGTATTTTCCTACCTCAGTGGTTTCATTATTCTGATTCTTTATGACCCACAGGTGTCTTCCAAAGGCAAATGGTGATGGACTGGGGCAAAGACCAAGATTTGGGGTGGAAACCCCTCCAACAAAGGCTTTTCCCTCCACTGAACCCAACCCTACAGATACTCTCATGATGCTGACAAGTAACTCCTTTTTTTTTGAGTTTGATTTTATTTCATCCATTTTTATCCCCTACAAACACATAAAATTGTCATAAAAATAAAGAAATTGATTTTACTCTCATCTGGGGAGAAAATGTAGGGCTTGGGAGGATTTGGGGGTGTTTATAGGAATTGGAGGAGTGTTTTCCCTAAAACTGGGGCCACACAGGCTGGGATCACAGAATCACAATTAACCAGCTTGGAAAAGACCCCTGAGATCAAGTCCAGCCTATGACCCAACACCACCCTGTCACCCTGACCACGGCACTAGAGTGCTGCATCCAGTTTTAAACAGCTCCAGGGACAGTGACTCTACCACCTCCCTGTGCAGCCCATCCCAATTTCCAATCACACTTCCTCTTAAGAACTTCCTAATGTCCAGCCTGAACCTCTCCAGTGCAGCTCCAGGTGGTGTCCTCCTGTCCTGTCTCTGTTCCCTGGGAGCAGAGCCCCACCCCACCTGGCTGCCTCATCCTGTCAGGGACTTGCAGATAGTGATGAGGTCTCCCCTGAGCCTGCTCTTCTCCAGGATAAACAACCCCAGCTCCCTCAGCTGCTCCTCACAGGACTTGTGTTCCAGACCCTTCAGCAGCCTTGCTGCCCTTCTCTGGACATGTTCCAGCATCTCAAGATCCTTCCTAAACTGGGGGCTCAGGACTGGATGCAACACTCAAGGTGCTGCCCAAGCAGTGCCGAGCACAGGGGAAGAATCACTGCCCTGCTCCTGCTGGCCACACCATTCCTGATCCAGGCCAGGAGCCATTGGCCTTCTTGGCCCCCTGGGCACAAAGCTAGCTCATGTCCAGCCTGCTGTCCCTCAGTCCCTGCAGGTCCCTTTCTGCCTGGCTGCTGTCCAGCCACTCTGTCCCCAGCCTGTAGTACTGCAGTGGTTGCTGTGGCCAAAGTGCCGGACACAGAATTTTAACTTGTTAAACCTCACCTTGTTGGATTCATGCCTTGGATCCAGCCTGTCCAGGTCTCTCTGCGGAGCCCTCCTGCCCTCTGACAGATCCACACTCACACTCAGTTTGGTGTCATCTCCATTTTCTGCTGCTCAAAAGAAGCAGTTAAATTGGTCAATAAGTTCTGTTTTTTTCCTCCTCCTGGTAATTTTTTTAATTTTATTTGACACCCTAGAGGCAACTTCTGTGATGGCCTCTATAAATTGATTCTATTTCAACAACACCAGCAACAGGGTTGTGAATGTGAGCACTGTGAATGTAGCCTGTGTGGCTTTAATTGTCCTCAGCTTAGTGCTCAGGCACTTGTGAGCATTTAAAAATCTGCTAATAATGAGTCCTGTTACAAAAATACTGAGTCCCCCATCATGAAAGCACCATGGGTAGCACTGATTGAAAGAGGCAATTGCAGTTGTACTGTTAAAATTCAGGTGGCAGCCAGAAGAGGGGCAACAGCAGCCATGATCTTAAATTCCCAAGGCAAAGACAATAAAACCGTCCTGGCTGTCACCTCACCAGGAGTAAAACAGTGCTGAGAACAGGGCTGGAACCCAATATTTCCTTTCTCTGAAGGTTGGGTCAGGGCAGCACAGGCAGGCCCTGAGCAGTCAGGGAGGTTTGTGGGTGATTGTTGCTCCAATCAAGGAATTCAATGGAAAAAACAATGTATGGTGCAATTGGAGTCTTGGCTTCAGTGTGTGGTGTTGCTGTGCTGGAGGGCAGGAAGGCTCTGCAGGAGGATTTGAACAGCCTGGAGAGATGGGCCGAGGCCAAGTGGAGGAGGTTCCCCAGGGCCCAATATCAGATCCTGTGCTGGGGTCACAACAGCCCCTGCAGAGCCCAGGGCCTGGGGCAGAGGGGCTGGAAAGGGCCCTGGGGGTGCTGGGCAAGAGCAGCTGAGCAGGATCCAGCAGGAGCTCTGGTTTATGTATCGCATCTAATAGAGCCAAAACTTCTTCCTGATGCTTTATAGCAGTCCCTTGGGAGCTCAACAACCCCCTCTCCTTCCATAGTGCACCATGAATGTGCACCACCCCAAAAGCATACTTGGAGTCAGTCCATATGTTCACCCTTCGTCTGGAGCTCAATATTAGTGCTCTGGTGAGCCAAATAATTTCAGCTTTCTGAGCCGACGGACCGGGTGTCAATGCACGCGCTTCTATGACCTGTAATTCTGTGACAACGAAGTATCCTGCGTACCTGATTCCGTTTTCCACATAGCTGGATCCATCCATAAACAGCTCCCAGTCTGCGAAATCCACAGGCTCATCCTTAAGATCCTGTTGACTGGAATATACTTGTTCAATCGCCTCTACACAATCATGCACAAGCTCATCCTCATTCACCTGACTGCAAAGAAACTCAGCTGGATTAAGATGGCTAGTTGTTTGGAGTTGCACATCATCTTGCTCCATTAGAATAGCTTGATATTGCAGCATTCAGCTAGATGACAACCAATGACCCCCCTTCTGTTCCAAAACAGCCATTACCATGTGGGGAACGTAAACATCTATCTTTCTTCCCAAAGTTAATTTCCGGGCTTCTTGTATTAAGAGCACCGTAGCCACAACAGCCCGCAAGCAAGGCGGCCAGCCGGTACTTACTGCATCTAGTTGTTTGGAAAAATACCCCACAGGTCTCTTCCAGGATTCCAGTTTCTGTGTTAGGACTCCTAAAGCCAATTTCTGCCTTTCGTACACATACAATTGAAAGTCTTTGTTTAAGTCTGGCAGCCCCAGGGCTGGGGCCTCTTTTAGTGCTTGTTTCAAGTCCAGAAAAGCCTTTTTCCTGATGGGAGTCCAATCCAACTGGGGTTCCTTCAGAGCCTCATACAGAGGTTTGAAAATGAGTCCAAAATTTAGAATCCACAGTCTCCACCACCCCACCATACCTAGGAAGGATCTCAATTCTTGATGAAACCTAGGGAGGGGAATCGAGCAGATAGCTTCCACTCGATTAGTTCCCAGGCGTCTCTGACCCTAAGCCAATTCACAACCTAGGTACAAGACATTTTTCCTTACCAATTGAGCTTTTT